TAGACAACCATTGGACTGAGACATGTCGATCGCTGGATCAGAATAGACAACCTCTGATTCGGATTCGTTCCATTTCATTGTAAAACGACTTCGCTTGAAATCCACAGCAACAAACTCTCCCAGCAAAATGTGCAACTCCAATGCACCCACAAGTCTGATTGAGCAGGGTATTGTTGTTCGATGTCATTCTGGGTCTTTCATTTCAAACGGTTTGGAGAAAAAAACGACAAATCATGCCAGATCTAGAAATTCTTCTTCTGTGTGTGCAATCCCTCGAGATGGTCGAAAAAAAGATCTGAAAAGGAAAACATGCACACGGCCAAGTAGTTTGGAAGAAGAATCGTTTTCAAGGTCATGTTTTGTGGATAGTCTTGGTTCGCATTGCTTGTGTTGGTTTCACTTGGTTCCTCTTAGGTGATTCGACTGAGACATGCCGGTTCGGATCGCTGGATCAGAATAGACAACCTCTGATTCGGATTTGTTCCATTTCATGGTCAAACAACCTTGAAATAAACATCAACAAACTCACCCAGCCAAATGTGCACCTCCAATGCACCAACAAGTATGATTGAGCAGGGTATTGTATCATTAAGCCAAGCTGCCTGCCAATGCGGGCTCGAGCTGGTGGCCGGCGGCATGCCGAAGGCTGTAAATTAGGACATGTGAAAGATGAGTCATCGGATTGTATCGGGTCGGTTCATTTCGGATGAGAGCCTTAAAAGCTCCTGCGCGTTCAAAAACATGGGGCTGTTCTCCCTGAGTTTTGGAGAACATGCATTCATTTGCTTCCTTGTGGAATTGTGGGGAACTTGCCGACATGGGCGTGATCCGCAGAGTTTTTTTCTATACTCGCTAGGCCTATCAGCCAGGTTGGCATCCAGCCCCTTCTTTTGATCCACTACTTCACTTCTGAATCCGTCATGGAGCAAGGTCAACCACCCATGGAACCGGAATAGTTAATTACATTGGAGTAGATGCATGCGTGTAACTACTCCGACTATTCAAGTCCCATGGATGGTCTGGGATGTACAAGGTTTGAACAATTCACTCGCAAGTTCCTCACCGATGTATGACTTACGAGTGTGTTTTCGAACCTATCTGGGGCCCATATGCGTAATATGCTTATAAGGACCATGGATGTTGAATCTTCTAACAGGCTCACCTTTGACACAAAATTTGGCCTCCCCCAATTCCTGTGTCCATCGTGTTCCTCCACCCCACTAGTGATCCTTTGTGGTTGCTAGGCCCACTTGTTCATTCCGGCCAGCAGGAATTGCGTGACAGCCCACTGGACGAGCAACTCGATCTTATTTGGCTTGATCAATATCGCATTGGTCTCAAGTGCTCCGAGTAGATGTCCCCTTTCTCCTGCACCTTCCCTATAGGTCCTGACCTGCCAAGTGCAAAGAAGCGGCTGGTCTCTTTCCGTCTGCCGTTCTTTTTGACTTTGCCTGCCAGGCACTTAACCCTATGACGACCTCCGCACCAGTCCAGCCCACCATTCTCGAGGTGCGATCACACAGGAATTCTCAAGCGGATGCGCAAGACACCCAGTCCCAAACACTCCATGTATATCTTGAGGTGGTTGAAAGGGGCCAATGTAGGCATAGGATTCCATACATGGCGTGTCTGGGAGTGTTTTCGCATCCACCGAAGGCAAGTGAGACCTCGAGCCTGCACCGTCTTACTTAAAGGGTCTTTACAAGCACAGCAAAAGCACAGCAAAAGCACAGCATAAGCAGTTAGAATTTGTTGATGGATACCTAGAACCTCTTCTAGGGCAGAGTTGTCTGCCTAGTTTGCCTTTGTCCGTGCTTAGGTGTTCTTGCCCCCTAGAGGCGCTCTTGATGCATCACATCCCGCCTCCCCTGTCAGTCTCTGGCTCTGTCTTCGCCTCAACTGTGGGCACTCCGGGACCTCAACAGCAAGCTCCACATAGTTGGCACTCCTGGACCTCCATTACTCTACTTCGAGCACAAACCAGACTTGATGCCAGAACAAGCGTCAGAACATTGTGTCAATCCGCATGTCCGCCTTTGTCAGGGTAGTCTGTCAATACATGTGTCCCGCCTCTTACAAATCGTCTTTCAGGGTGGGATCACTCGATGTAGAGTATTTTGAGTGTTTCTATGTGTACTTTGATTCATTGATGTTGTATCTTTTTGCGTAGGCGTCATTGAGAGGTTCTTACCCGTTATATACTTGGGCGTTCTTGCCCGTTACAATCGAACCAGTATTTGGGTTGGCATAGGAATGGTAGCCTTTTTGCGGGGAGTCAGTGATAGTGATGTATGAGTGTCCAATATTTTAGATCGAGGAATAGCGGTTGTTTTCTCAAATGATGTTTCATTCAAATTCTGGTTCTGCCTCTGCATGTAAGAATGCATGTAACAGAACAGTAATTGTTTCTCGAGGCTTCAGCTTCGGTTGTTCTTTGAAAAGACTGGCAGAGAGCAGCGGCTGAAGGCCATGATGCAGAAAAACATTATTGTGAGTTCCAGCTACAGTGGCCTGCGGACTGAAGAATGTGCTACGGCTGCCTTGTCTTTGGCTATGGGGCGTAATTTTCAGCCTAATTCAACAAAGTTAGAGTTAGGCATATTTTTTGCCTAAAGAAGATCTGATCTAGGTATATAATCCGAGGACATGCTAGGATTCTATAGGTATATGTATCCGGATGCATTCTCTAACCGAAAAGCTCGACCTGAAATGTTCCGTCACTTGGCTGACTGGAGTTTCGGGATTTTGTCAAGAGTCTTCCTCTACGCAGCGGTATCTTGTAAGCCTAAATGGCGAGTGCGCAACAAAGAACATGGAACTCCTTTTCCACCATGATGAGAAGCAAATGCTTTTAAAATCGGAAATCCTGCCAAGCTACATCCACCCTTTGGTTCTGTTTGGGTACCAAATCATTAAGCAACAAAGAATAGAATTGACATGAATTGACATGCGTTTCAAGGGTGGAATCGGAATCCTGCTCCCAAGCCGTCGGTCCCACCTCTCTCTCTCCTCAAACGACCTGTATGGCGGCTTCTTTCCCAAGTCCTCCAAGTGCCTGGCGAACCATAGATAATGGATGAACCATGGACTGAATGCACTACGGCCAAGTGCCAACATCTGTCCAGGTCGGAGGCTTTCCATGTCATGTCTTGCGACGAATTCTCCATTCGGTTTTGTGGGATCCTTGTTCACTGTGTGCGTGCGAGTAGGCGGCTATCTTCCGTATTGGGTGTGAATGCGGGTGAAGGTTCGAACCATGCTTGCAGGTCCTAAAAAACACTTCAGAGTTACAGCTGTGCTTTATTGCAACTCAGCAGAAGAGTCTACTAGTCTACCAGGGATGTCAATGTGTAAGTTTGATCACATCCCCCCCAAAAAAAACAGAACATGCCTTAAAGCCACCTAAACAGGGGGCCCGGAGAAGGGGGGCTGCTACCTCTGAGCTGTTTGTTGAGTCAGCTGAGAGACCGCCGAAGAAAGACATGACCCGACAGGTCCAATGGATGGGCGTCTAGGCCTAGGCCTTCCGAAGGAGAACAGGACTGGTTGGACCCCAGAGGTCCAAAACAGCTACAGAGTCTGAGCAGTATTCTGAACAGTGGGTGAGCAGTAAACGCAGAAAATGCTAGCAAAGCTAGCAGCGAAAAACATGGATCAAATTCCTGTATATTATAATCATCATGGGCCGTTACGTGGATTCCATGGCCATGAAGACTTGGATGACGATGAGTCTTCCGAATACCAAAAGGCGGTGCCATCCACTTTCATCATTCCAACGAGCGTATATCTATAGGCAAATCCATCATCGGGCTCGGAGCTGTCCGGGGTGCCCCTGTCAAATCCCCTAGCTGAAAGGGACATCCAACGACTCCAAAAACAAGCAACACAAACACTCAACTCCCATGGAACTGGTCATTTCAAGTCCTATCGGATCTATTTCAAGTCCATTGGATATGTTAAAACCAAGACTAGCAAACTCTGCGCACATGCGCGCACTGCGAAATGGAAGCGCCCATTGGCTCGGCTCGGCGGCCGACCACCGGTCTACCGGTCCTGGGACGCGCGCGATAGGTGCGGACGGCCAAATCTCCACGTTCAGCGTCTTGGACGATTTGTTCTGGCGCCGAGGGGAACGAAGGCATGGCCCGATGGGTTTCCCAGTGACATGATTCCGGGGCGAGTCATGAAGTGGAAGACCGAGAGTTGAGAAAATAGAAACACTTTGAAGTCTAATAGAAATTGTTTAGGGTGTTTCTTGGAATAGGGAGCACCCTCTAACCAATGTGCTTAGTCAAGTCATGTCAAGTGCGTTTTTTTTTTCAAGGGATCAACCTGGGGGTTCTCCCTTCCAATACACACCCACAACATCCAAGATCCACTGTCCATTGCCGGATTCTGTCTGCGACTCGACACATTGTAAAGCGCCAGGCGAGACGGCACAGTGCCTACAGCGCCGCCTATATAGCACATTCAAACCGTACAACATCCCACAGGAGCGCCGCGGGAGTTCAGGCGATGGATCCCAGTGACTGAAGTGTTGAGTTTCTGCTCTTCTTCAGCCAGTTCAGTTCAGCTAGACTTCTTGGGACTGGAACTGCAGCGCAGCCGCTCCAACTGCCGACTGAAGCAGCCGCTCCACGTGTGGACGACCGGGTCCGGTGCTCCAGCGCTGTGGCCGTGGAGCCTGGCCTTGCCAAGTCTTCACCTGCGTGCTGATGTTCAGTCTTCGCCAGCGGTGCTACGTGGTGGAAAAGGATCATGTCTCAGTTGAAACGGTCAGGTTTTTTTTTGTGCTTTTTTGATGTTGACCTCACCTGAGAAAACAAGAAAAACATAGAAAAACACTCAATCCTGAAATAACCTCCTGTCCTACGAGCAACTCGTGGCAGTGAGGCTTCAACTTGATTTCTGTTTCCACCGTCACCAAGAATGATCTCCAAAACCTCCAAGACCGGAGGGGAGAGTCGTACAAGCATCCGAAGAGATCTGCAACATCCCCCCCATCCTCTGTCATGTCCTCGACCCGCCGTATCTTCTCCCACCTTCGGATAGGCCTTGTACCACTTGAAGATCATTTCCTCTGCCTGATCTGTCCAGGTCATCTGATACCCACAATAAACAACTGTTCAAAGCCATGTGGCGGACAACTACCAAGGGAAGCTAACCAAAAAATACTGGAAGTATCTGGAAGTGCTGTTTCAGTCGGGCTGCACGAAAAAACAGACATGCATGAATCAGGAAGAGGTTCTTACATTCAACTAGCCATGCCTTCAAGGGCCTCAAGGCGCCCCCCAGAGCTGGGTGGATCAAGGCCTTGATCAGGCGGAACTGGTTCCAACTTGAATCGTAAAAAAGAACACACTCACTTCTACTAGAACCTGATCTCAAAAAGGACTGCAAACTCCAAAATGACCAACACATTCTGACATCAGTGGAGCATCATCTGGAGACCGGGATATGTCGGGCATTGCCGGGCAAATCGACCAGCGTATCTCCACGATATGGGACCACATCATCGACCGGGAGGGCATGTCGAGGAGAAGGTGAACATTCTCATGTCCCGGTCCCAACATCAAAGCTTTCGCAAGTACTGGACTTATCTTGTTCCATTGGTGCTTTCGTTGTGTTTTGGTTTTGGCGAGCATCCCATTCGGTCATTGGAATCGCCTGCGTCACCTGTGCCAAAGGTTTCTCTTAGTGCGTTCCATGTCAGAGTACACCCCAGGCCAAACAGTTTTCAGGATTTTGTTTTGTGAGAAGCTGTTCTTTGGCGTTCGGAAATTCAAACAACACAGTCCTTTTTTTTAAATCGGATTTATTGAATTCCAGAACATTGATGTGTTTGGCTTTCTGGAACTCTCGAACTCAAGAAAATTGATGTTTTGATTTCTCAAAGTCAACAACAGTCAACTTGTTCACTGTTCAATATTTTGCATTGTTCATCAAAGAGCGACCTAAACACTTTTCCCAAGTCTGAGGTGAGTTTAAGACATCTCAAGATCCAAGGACAATAATTCGTTCCATATCTGTTTGTTCCAGTAGTTCTCCTGATAATCATCTTGTGATAAAGCGGGAAGCCAGCCTCATGGGCGAAGAGATACCTCCTGAGGCTATGTGCAACAAACTTCTTCTTCGTTCACAAACAATCGCGTTCACCGCCACGTGAAACGCATCACCCTTCTGGCGCCTCTTTGATGGAGCAACCCAACTTATCAGATACTCCCTGCGGCTGAATCCCATAGGCGATGCCGAAGTTCACTGTCTGGACAGGGACACACATCTGGGAAATGATTCCTATTGTAGGCACACCACGTGGCCAGTTGCAGGTGTTTATATTGGGTAGTTGCATGTGAGGCCGATCATGGCAAACTTGGGAACCATAATGAATATCAAAACATATATTATAATATATCCATTCTCTGAAGTCTGAAGTACATAGAAATGTCGATGCAACTCAATCAAGGGGCATTCAACCAACAAATACTACATGGAATAATGTGGTCCCGGAAATAATGTTCAGGTTTGTGCTATCGAAACACCCGCTTGCCCTGATCGAAACACCCGCGCGAACGAACTCAGATATTCCAAGATATTCCAATTACCCGAATTGATCCGCTTGGGAATATTCCAAGTGCAGTTTTTGGGGGTCAAAGCAGGGTGCTAAGAATATGAAATTGAAATGACGGAATGTACATTGGCGGCTCAAATTCCGTAGTCTATGTATTTAAGGGCGGTTATACATTATAACTATATTATTGTATGAATATTAGTGTGTCCACTTCATGTAAGCACCAGCCAAAAGGGCTATAAAGGACAGCACATCCGAGTCTCGTTGTGTGACCAAAAGGCGTGCAGTGCCCCTCCCCAAGGGGTGCATGCACCTGACAGACCCGACCTCCCTTCCAGAACCAGGCCACACACAGATTGAGGCGTTTTGAGCCGAATGCATAGTCCAACATGGTCACAAAACCAATGCCATTTAATATATATATATATACACTCCCCCTACAAACAAGTGAAACACATGATATTCAACTTCTATGATTATGTCATAATCAATGAGACCAAACCTTTGATTGTTTTTTCTTTTCGGCCCCCCAAAACATTCAAAAACAAACCTTCAAAAAGCCGCCTTGGCGGCCCGCCGCTCGCTGCAGTAAACATCCTTCAAGAGCGGCCGATCCGGCCGCTCGTCGCTGTCCTGCAGTCCGGAGCCACAGCAACAGGCATGGCCATGCCTGTGGTGTGTATGGGTTTTTTTGCCTGCTAGTTTTTGATGCGAGAGGTGCTGGAAAAAAAAAAAAAAAACAAAACATGCACATTTGTGTTGGGGGGTGGCATTCTGTCATCACGCCTGTGAATGAAGTTTTACGCCTATACGCATGGAAACCTGCCATTGATGACTCCGGTGATTTCTGCGCAGGCCAGGTCAGGCATCTGTTTCTTTTTTGGACGCCTGACATACACATAGACCGCTTCAGGGCGTACCGGTGTGCACCCCTTCAGGACGACGCCACCCTCACAGATGGTTCCTGTCCGAGTGTGGACCGAGGAGGTGATGGTGGTCATCACCACACCGCGAGCTCCCACCATTCGCTGTGTCAACAAAAAGAACAGGGTATGGAACTGTGTCAATACAAGGAAAACATGTGCAAAGTGTCAAGATGTGTCAAGATCATGACAGCTTGGCAAGTCGTGAAGATCTGACATGTGAATGATGCTAACGTGTGATCTACGTGTGAGTCAGTGAGAGTCATCCTGACCAGAAGAGAGCAAGGGTCCATTCCACAGACACTTTTGCACGTGAGCAATCGCTTTTAAAGCGGGAGGAAGGTCGGTTTGGGGTCCCAGGGGTCTGCAGCAAATGGAACAAATCCTCGCTCCACTTCCTTAGATTCGCAACGCACGACGGACAGTTGGTTCTAGCATGTTCTAGCTACAGTTGTTTCAGAGGCTCGATGGCACTGGCACCCAAGATGTCGAGACAGGGGTCCATCTAAACCACCTTTTGGGGATTGTACCATCTACTCTGAACCCACCCACTGTAATGATTCCTGGACTTTGGTCAATGGCCTCGATCGAGGTCGGTCTCAAACCGCTGCAAGGTTGGTCCACTCGAAACGGCAGACTGCCCGTCGTCTGCTTGGCCCGGGCGGGCTGCAAACGGCCTCTAAAGAGATCTCGCCGTCGTCGATGGCCTTCTGCAAGTGAGGGTACCTGCCAGGTTTTGGGCTTTCCAAGCAAGTTGATGAGCCGATGAGCTGTACAGGAATATCTACAAGAGAAGGGTCTGTATTTTCCACACTTACACTTACTGTTTTGCAATAGAAATTCCATGAAATTCCATTAATTTGGCTGTGGAAAACGACGTGGCTGTGTGACTCAAAGGAAGGCCTACCAATAATAACAAAGCCGGCACTGCTATTCTCATCGCGCAACGGAGAATAGCATTCAGTAGTATACAACGCTCGAAGATGAACACTTCCCTTCGCGGCCTGGATGTTTCTACTTTGGCCGCATAACGATTGGCTGTATTGGTTGATCTGGTCAAATGGAGCAACCACAAATGATTTTCTTTATTTCTCCAACTTCTACAGTGAATTGTCTTGCCTGAACAATGTGAGAAGTCCAGTCCAATCCCACCTTGTGCAAAGGATCAAAGAACACGCAAACAAACACTCTGACATTGGTTTTCAGTTACGCTCAATTTCCCGATGGGAAGAAAGGCGAAGAACCGCAAGGTGAAAATGTCGGTGCAAATGTATTGTTGAACATTGTTTCCAAGTGGCCTCAGAATCGATCTGCACAGGTGATGCGGCGACGAGCTCAGCTGCGGGGAAAAGGTTTATGGGAGGAAACATGTAACCACCATGAATCAAATAAGGCGGATTGGAACAGCTTGTGCAAGAGCTTCGTAGCAGGTACATGAGAGTGATCAGCTCTCACTTCCCTCGACACATCATAGCTTCGTTGCGTCAGGTAGATGTGTCGAGCCTGACGCCCCTGCTTGAACAAGTGGTATAGGTGGATCGGCTGAAAGAAACCCTTTGTCCAGGGGTGGACACACA